GGAGCATTGAATCAATCAGAATAGAGCCGGTAGAGAATTTGGATGTTTGGCAACAGTTACAATTTATATTTGTAAATTGTAGTTATGTTGAAATAAAAAAAAACATTACAATACTATTTTTGCGTTGTATGAAAATTTTTGTTGCTCCGTATAAATTTTTTATTCCCCCCGGTCAAAGGTGTCCCTCTTTACCAATCTGAAAATCTGATCACCTTATCTATCCTCCAACCCTGCTTGGTTCTTATCTCTTCTAACATAACATTTGAGAAGATAAAGCTTTCAGCTCATCATCATTTGTGGTCCTAAATATGAATAGAACATGACAGCTTCCTTCAGTGGCTATCTTTTAAAACCAAACTTTGTAGCCATCCAAGCACTACAACTTGGCAACTGCTCATTCTTATGTAAGAATTGATTGCAAGAGATGATTTAATATATTTCTTACAAGAGCTTATGCTAATCATAGTTTCAGTATTTGTACTCTGAAACCAAACTTTGAATACAAGTACTGTAGCAAGCAAAATGTAACATTTCATCATTGGTTTTAGTCATTTTTAATTTTTTCATATTGTTCATGTGTTTCTAACCATTTATTAACATCTGAAAATAATTTCTTTTGGAGAGCTCATACAACATCATTAAAATTTGTGGGGTAGAAGTTATCAGCTTTCAGGAGCAAAAGTCCTGTGGCTTTTATAGGATTGACTACTGTGATTTTCTATATCACTAGATTATTTCTACCCAGATTATTTTTTATTAATTTGTGATTGTAGAACATATTCTTTCATTAATTTTATCAATCTAGTCAGCAAATCAACAATATATTTGTCATGCCTATCTAAAAAGTTTCAGGACTCATTAGACCTGGAGAATATACTAGCCGGATTTAGAAATAGCCACTCTTTTTTGATTATCCTTTTATTAAATATATCATCCTTTTAGCCATTGTATCTCTACTGCAAGATGAAGTATTGGAAAACTGCTATCATGTCTCCTCTAGTCTGTCTCGTCACTAGACTAGCCATGTCCAGTTCTTGCAACGGTGCATCGTATGTTTTAGCCTCCAGTCCCCTATTCATCTTGGTTGCTCTTCTTTGCACTCTTTCTAGAGTCTCTTTTTTTAATAGTGTGGTGACCAAAACTGGGTGCGGTACTCTAGGTATGGCTGCCACGAGTCTTTCTGGTTAGTGTAATTCTTTTATAAGGAGGAGAAATACTGATAAGAAATTCATGTTATGATTGGATGGTCGAAATCCTTAACCCCGCCCCACATGTATATGTAGCAACAATTTAATAGTCTGTAAAATAATTTTTTTTCTTTTTCTTTTGATTTCTTTACTGATGAAAGAAATGTCCTTCTGGGTTCGGCTCCAAGTGGGGAAAAAGACACTGGAGACATGGAGGCTGCTTGGAAAGATGGTTTAGTGGTGGCTTGAGCCCGGAACAGAAAAGGTGATCACATGCTTCAATGTTGGTGGAGAAGAAGAGAAGGGCTGAGGGAGGGGCTTGCTAGGCTTTTTATAACCTGTTCAGTCCCACCCCTCTGTTTCCTGTTCCTGTGTAAGAAATGTATTCTGATTGGTTGTCAGACTCCCATGGACCCATGCAGGGGCAACTCTCTAGGCTGTGTTTTGAATCCAGGTTTGGTTGAATTCTCAGATGCCATGTGGTCAGTTGAGTAAAGGGCCAATATTATTATGCTTTTAATCCCATCCCCCCTGGAGCTGAAGTGGAGAAGCCTTTATTATGTAAAGGGACTTAGCTTGGCCTTCTTAATGGCCCATTGACAAAGTGGGGATGGACAGGAAGCTACAGACAGCTATTCTGTCTTTTAAAACATGTTTCTTTCTTTTCACATCCAGAGAAATAGTCTGCCTTTTCAATATTTCCTAGGATATTTTATTTTTTCTGGGAGAGGGCTGGGTGATAACTTCCTACATTACTTTATGATGGTTGCAGCTATTTAGTTTCTCTTATTGCCCCTTTGGAGAAGGCGCTATGGCTACACTGCAAACATCCACACACGCCCTTGTAATTAGCCCAAGGAGCTTTCTGGGAGTTGCTGGAACCGAGAAAACTAGGAACCGTTCCCGTCGCCTCTGCGAGGTTCTCCCCTCTAGCTTTATAAAGGTCACACCCAGGACACGGGTAAAAGAAGCAAGACCGGCGACGTGAGAACTTCGCCCCTCGTAATGGCTCCAAGGCTACAAACTCCATTTCCCAGCATGCAAAGCTGCCTAGAAACTTCGCCCACCGGGGGGAAAAATCGACGCAAGTCGTCGCCCTGGAAACAAAAGCGGCCGTTAGCGAACAGAATGGCAAATGACGATCTCGCGCTGAAAAGTCACTCGAGCGATAAGTTCTATTGGCTCTTTTTAAGCCACGCCCTAAATATTATTGAGCCCCGCCTCTGTCGCTTCCAGGCTACGTATAAAAGTCGCGTCGGCAGCCGCCCTGCGTCTTTAGCTTCTGGTGTCTGAGAGGAGAAAGATGTATCGATTCCGTTCACAGGCATCCACGGGGATTTCTACCGCCGCTGCAGCTTTGCTTATCGCCCGCTTCCCTCAATCCTATCTGCTGCCTCGGTCCGGGAAGCCGGCTTCTGAAAGACATTCCTATAGTAAAAAGCGCTCCTGGTCTTCCATCGGCTGATTGTCACTGCTGCCCGACGAAGGGGAGAAAGTAAAACCAGAGACGGGAGAACCTCTGTGCCGAAGCGCCAGTAGGAGCCGCGCGGAGATACAACTACCGTTGTAGGCCGCTGCCATGCCCAAATCTAAGCGGCGAGGAGGAGGGGGTACCTCGCGCGGAAGATCAGGTGAATAGATTGGCGCTTGCGTGTCGCCGCCGCGAGTCATTCTGGGTAGTGTAGTTCTGTGCTGCTTGGTCCTCAATGACGGGCGGCGACGGCCATTCGCTTGTGGGGGGGGGGTGGAGCCGGCCTGTAGGCCGCGGCCTATAATTCTTCGTAGATGTAGGATGGTGTTTGGTTGCGGATGTGGGCGACGCCTTCGACTCGGCTCTGCCCTGTCTTTCCATGGCGTATCCAAACTAGACAAGTGACCTGGTCTTTCGGGAGGCTAGAAAACGGCGACGCCTGGTCTCTAACCTTGGCAACTTTAATACTTGTGGACTTCAACTCCCAGAGAGTTGAAGTCCACAGGTCTTAAAGTTGCCAAAGTTGGAGACCACTGCAGGAATTCAAGATACTATTTGTAGAGTGTGACTTCAACGGCTTTTATTTTTGTTTGTAAAACTCAACTGTTACCTTTTACTTAGCTGCTTTCACAAGTAATGGTCTCGGTAGTGGTGGTGAAGGGAAATTAACCTTTACGTAAAAGACTTAAATGGCACTTAAAAAAAATAGAATAAAAAATAGAAAAGTGAAAATTGCAAATTAAAAACCTTCAGTCCCAATGCGTTTCCCAAAGATATTGGTAAAATGACATTTTTACAAACTGGTGGTTGCTACTGATAGAATATTAAGTTTTTATAAAAAATATAAATCTAAAAGCCATTGTCCAGTTCACAGAAACAAACTTTTTTAGACAGCATTATTAGCTTGCCAGGAATAACTTTCCTTTTAGGTTAAACTTAAAAATTCTCATGACAGATGACCTGAATAATATGCAGGGCTATTACTTTACTGAATATTAATAGTGACATTCAAAAGAATAAAAATTGTTTAAACAAGGTGTGTATGCCTTCCATTTTTGGTAAAATATATTTTCTAGTGGAGCAAGAACATCTCTTGGGTCAGGGGTGTCAAACTCAAAGCCAAGGGGCCGAATCTGGCTTGCAGGGGGTTTAGATCTGGCCTACAGGGCTGCCCTGGAAATAGCAAAGGAGCAGCCCATGGTGCCTCTGCCAGCGAAAATGGAGCTCAGGACAGCTGCACGTGGCCCTCCAAAGCTGTTTTAGTTAACAGAGGGCTGCAGGAGGTCATCGCACCCGAAAATGGAGTTCGGGAGTCCATTTTAACTGGCAGAGTGCTCGGGGGAGCACAGGTACCCTCAACATGAGTGATGTTGAGCTGGCCATGCCCACCCTGGCCTACCAAGGTCAAACATGGTACCAGCCGAGGTACCGGGGGAAGGTCTTGAGCGGAGCTTATGGAGCGAGTTTCAACTTGTCGCTCCTGAGGAA